TTTAGGGATCAAGCAATTCACCGTCCTTGTTTAACTGGATATTAGTCCAGTAAACGAGCGATTTAGGTTGGAAAAAATTTACCAAAGGTTTCTCAACTGTATCCGCTTCAGTTGTGGGCCAATATAACCCAGATAATTTCCAACTGGATTTCAATTATGGTACAGTGCAAAAATCCAAAATGGCTGCCAATGCAATGGGATGGCGGGGGGAGGGGGTGTATACAGTAAGTGGGTATATCATATATATAAGTGGGTAACCTTGAAACTTGTGAGAGGTATCCTTTCTAATGTTCAAAGGCATGGCAATCCATTTCAAAAAAGTTTAGAAGTTATCATGCCTAAATATCAAGGTCAATCTCCAAAAAGGGCCAAAACAGCTTTAAAAACAACATAAAATCTCTATATTCTTTCAAAATTGAATCTTTTTAGTATTTGTAGCTCCCATTGAGAACTGCACACAAGAGAAAGCCTTTTTGAATGCTGTATTTAATTGACATAGGGTAAAATAATGTATGTCAAGGTCAAATTTGCTTCTTAAATGATGTAAAATTAAGCTTTAGGATCCTCAAAACACATGCCAAGTTAACTAAATATACCCTTGGATGGCCAAATCGCTTTATGTTTTAGCTGAAAATTAAGGGAAAGGGAAATACTTTATTAACGGACGTAGGTCAACGTCATGTATGCGGGTCAAGGTCAATCCCAACAATGGCTTGAAATGTAACTATACTTTTTTGGAACTTTGACTTTCTGGAATATATTCTTATAAACATAATCTTTAAGTCATCTTTTAGTGACAAAATGTGACAAACATGTCACAAAAAACGTATATATTACTACAGCTGTGAGACAATATGTGTATATACAATCAGGCATGCGAACATGTGTCCGCGAGCAAAAACACGCACGCTGTGAAACGGTACTTGCATGATGGAAAAAAATGGAGGGCCACATTAAAATGACTCAAGCTATCAGTTAGTTTTTCCAGAGACAACTAAATAACAGCATGCGAGATCATGCAGTCATCTGCACTGGTTGTCCCGTTAAGATAACAGCTCTACCAGATATGTATAAAGGGATGAGCATTGTAAGCAACTTCCATTATTAAGTGGTAACAACCTGTCAAAGTCTGGTTTTCCAGAGGAATAGTAAATTGCAGATTCTTCATTGATAGCCTTATATTGAAATTCTTTTATGATGACAAAAGAAAATTAATATTTAATTTTGATTGAACATGGGAGCGCATTGAACAAAACACGTATATATATGCAATCAATTCATTATGTATACTGTAGGTCGAAATTGACTAATTAGAATCATTCCTAAAATTAGATCTCACCTTACATTGTCCCGAAATGCAGAGTTGCAAGTCATGATCAGAAAACATGTTTCTGCGCTTCTAGCATGATTTGTTGCCCAAGTCAATGGCAGTCAAACGATCGTCTTTGATGAAAAATTCATGAATAGCACCCAGTTCAAACAATTGGAAATGACTAAACAAAGTTTTATTTCAACATAATATGTCTGTTCTCAATAGCAAAACATTTTATAAAATTACTGGTGAAGATGTTTCCTTCTTAGGGGTAATATGTATGTACTACGTACAGAAAAACATGGCGTTCTAAGTGAGTGTCCGGTCCCGAATGATAGAAAATTGTATAATTTTGCTTGGTTAACTTTTTATCGTCCATTGTGAAATATAACGATACTCGAAAATCTGTCGTTCCCCGCGCGTCATAGTGTTTGTCCTGCATAAAAACGTGCTAGTGATGTTATTGATTGACAAAAAATGCTGTTTATCGATACAAAATACAAATCGATTCAAACTTTCCACCCTGCTATGGTCTGCCCTTTGTTACTTTGTTAGTTTAACAGACGTAAAAAATCATTAAAATTAATCAACTTTGGAATAGTAACTATTGACATTATTTTCTTCCGATTCTTGCAGATTATAATTGGTGTACATTACGTACTTGATCTTTTCCAAAGGTTATCCAAATACTTACAGCGGGGCTTTTGTAAAAGGACAAAGAAAAAATAATTAGTGCCAACATGTTATGCATGTAACAAGCATTCTCATCTTTGATTGCAGCGTCGGGCACGTGATTCATGTAAAATCTCCAGGTAAATACTGGTGGAGTCGATTGACAAATCATTAACTATGGTGGATTCAAAAATATACCTTCCTTAAACTGCAATCAGGTCTTCATAAACCATGAAAATTGAGTACTCTTATTTTAAAGAGCACTAAGAATGCTGTCGAAACATGACTATCAGTACTTTTCAAAATATCCTCGATGCACAAAATATCAATTTAGGATATTTAAGCTTCTGTAATCAATTGTACTTTAAATAATATATTTAAGCTTTGATTTATGGTACGTGTACAATTCGACTGGTTTTAATTGCAAAAAAAGAGATAATAATTGTAATGGGAACTCGGTTTCTGCAATATACAAAATTATTCAGCAGAGAACAAGGCAGTTTGCAATTACGCCGCATAAATCCAAACAGTAGGACATGTTTTGTGTTTTTGTCCTGTGGCAAGCTCTATACGCAAGGAATAACCTACGTTAGATTTTAGCTCGGGAGAAAATACTTGGGGAGGTTAGCCTATGCACGAAGTGTGTCATTTGATATATGCTGTAAACTGTTTATTTTCCTAATGCTAACATATCACAAGAAAAATGTGAGGGGCAAAGAATTCTAGCGATGAAACCACGGGGAAAGAGAAAACAAAGGAAGTAGAAGAAAAAAATAAGAATACTACAAAAGAGAATATCTAGTAGTTAGGTACAGAAGAAGACCGGTATGGGCGGAGGCGCAGTGTTCGCTGTGGGGACCACTGCGAAGGGTCAAAGCCGAAAAAGTAGGTCTGGTATTATACTGATTTATTGGCATTATCCCCTCATAAAAGACGGTATTGAGATGAAAATGCTGGATGTTGTTTTATTTCACGCCATTAGACTAAAAAGATAAGAGTAAGTTCAGTTAGGAGAGAACCACCAGTTGATAGTCAGGGACCGTACTCTGTATTGTGGTGGTAAAGGATGGTGGTGTAAGCTTATGGTCTATTGATGAAAACTAGCGCATTGATTATCCCCATAAAGCGAATTAATTCACCGAGTTCAATACATGCCCATTGGAAAAAAAACATGTACAGGAGTACATGTTTCATGTATAGAGTAAATGTCTTTTCATGTATAGAGTAAATCTTTTTCTTCCTAGTAGTAACCGATTTCAAACATAATCTGTCAGTAACCATGTTCTGGAAGTAAATAAAAATTAATCCTTATGGACAACAATGTAAGCTGTTTGTGGTACATGCAATTCGACATCAACAATTTGCATTCACTAGCGTTTTATATCATTCCTTTACATTTATGATAAATGCGTACGGGCACCATTTTATGTTCGTTAAAATACAACCTTTCTTAATAAGTTGTCCATATGGTTAATGCATATGATACTCAATACATATCGACAATTATTTTAGATTCAAGTACACTGAGAAGGAAAGTATGACTGTGGCTTCTTTATTTCCACACTCTCACGGAAACTACTTTTAAAAACTCAGTCACATCCGGCACAGTAAAACTGCCAGCTGTCACATCTAACGCAACTATAGTTACTATAATTATAACTCGGATCACCTCCTTTTCCAATACTCTATCATGCGTTACACACGGATCATCCACATACACGTTGGACCAATTAGTTATATATACACGTGTATGTAAACTCATTTATAGAATTGTGTAGCTTATTCTTTTTCAATCTACGCCACTCCACAAGCAGTACAATAGTACCAACATGGTATCATATTGTGACAAGTACAAGTTGAATAAGAACACTTCTCTATCACAATCCCCTTTGAATTAAAGTGATTTTGTAATTCATTTTTTATCATACTAAAATAATAAAGAAATAATAGTAAAATATGAATCTTGCGCCGAACGCAATTCCCGAAAGTGAACTGATTTTGAGATGCCGCCGTGATACGTGGTTACAATCCTATGAGCATTTCTTTATTTGTGTACATGTACGTTCTTAATAGATATCGCATTTCTTTTATAAGATGTGGTCAATCGTAACTATAAAACCATTTCACACACTTCTCGTCTTGCTTTCGCAAGGAACGATGGAACACGTAAAAATATCATATTTCAACTTTAAACTCCAACGCATGAGTGTCTGTGTGATTTAATTCACATGTATTTGGTTTGTAGGAATGATGGAGTTACTATGTTCTGCTGCTTATTGTGTCAGCTATACTAACCCTGAGCGCTGACATATGCGCTGCTCGGGTTGTATTTTCCCCACTCCTGCGAAAATTTCTCATTTGACGCTCAGCTACGGATCTCACCCGCACAAAAATGCAGTAATATCGAAGTAGCAAAGAAGCATTAACGCAGTAGTGGTGTGGAGCATATTTGCAGTAGAAATGCAGTATAGCCTACTGCAATTCTACTTCAAAAATTACATAGGGTTGTACAGAGGAGGAGCATTAATGCAGTAGATTAGCAGCATGATAGAAGCATGTTTCAAATATGCTAATTAGCTCCCACATCGAAGCAGATTTGAAGCATGTTTGCAGTATGATTGCAGTAGACTACTGCGCTGGAGTATCTACTTCGTTTTCGTGCGGGCAATCTGTCCTAGAACATAATGTTTTTCTCTTTTAATGAAAAAATGTTCTTAATCTGTTCTAGGGCATTCTGACGGACTTCGTAAAAACAGTTCTCGAACTGATACATTCAATAAAGAACAACATTAGAACGGTAAAACATACACCAAATGTTCTGGAATAGATTGAGAATCATTAGTGAACGTTAAATGAGACACATTTTGGCAGGGGCAGGGAGATGAGAATGAAGAATGATACATAATTACCAGGCAGTATGAGTTTAATGAATTATGATCTATCTGTACCTGTACATTCAATATATAACATATATTGCGAAGAAATAAATAAACATCAATTATTATTAAACCTCATTTATTATCAAGATTTGAAAAACAAAAAACCATAAATCATTACCACAGATGCCAATGTGTATATCTGATGGTTCTGTATTAAACGCAATATGATTTACTACCATAATGTACTCGTGGCTTATCTCGTCTGCGGGTATTAACTAATCACATCCGTAATCATACACTTTTTCGACAGCCATTAAGAGAAAAGTTAAAGTAGTATTACAACTATCAGATTACGTCTATGATATACTAGAACTTTGCCTCAATTATATAAAATTACATAAGTAACAGACACCAGACGGATTTGGTTTTCAATCGAACATGCATTGCGTATCTATAATTAAGATTTTGTTTAATCTCTTTTTCTAAAACATTGTCATTGGAGATAATAACACGAAATTACCGTTTCTGTAAACTATAAAGAATAATTACTTAAAGCGGAGGCAGTGGTCTTCGAGATGAGGTTAACACAGGTGGGCACTGTATTCGTAGAGGTGGAAGAGCCCCCTTGACAACGGATGGAGGTGCACCGCCGGCATATGTGTAGTTTTCATGATGATTAACTTCGCGATAGGGGGAACCACTGGTATCATCGTAGGGGGGAGCAGGGACTCCAACAACTGCTTGGTCCATTGGAAACATCACCTCTTGGAAGCTACGTCTTCCACCACACACCGCATCAAACGTGTAATTCGGAGGAGGGTAGGCAAGACTCGGTCTCTTTTCGCATGAGGCTTCGTTGGGCTCTGCTTTCTTTTTAAGGTCAGTGATACTTTCGGCCGCTTCTGATCCTGTGTCTCGTATTTTGCTGCAGCGCCTGTAGGATGTGACAAACTGTATATGAAATAGCACTTTATCCAAGAATACAAAATGATTACTTAAAGTACAGCAAGTCTTGCATTTAAACGCAACAAAGAAGTATTGTATAACATAAAGGGTGAAGTTGAAATATCTAAAGGGCACAAAACTTCATGAAAACAAGTGTTACAAACAGATAAGTAGTTCAGTTGCAATTTGGCACTATCATTTCAATCAAGTTACATAGCCGGAGATGCCCAGACTACGCCACTAACGGCACCGCACGACGGAACCATGAACGATTTTCCGTGCCATATTTTTAGGCATCGTGTCTGCAACAAACTACTGCAAGTATACATGCGTTCGCATAATACTAATATGCGGACACCGTAAAATTTTTCCCACATAAGTCGGCAAAATTCGGTTTGTCGGTTGAAAAGTGAGATTTCTTTCAACGTCCTAGCCGTTGCTGCATACCCTTCTCCGCTGATTAATTAGTTGCCGCAGCAGTCATGTGCGTTTGCGAGCTGCTACTATTCCCGCAAGCCAAAAGAACCATTCCTGTACAGGAAATATGCAATGTCGTTTACGATATTGCGGCAGTGCACGGGCTAACGATTTAAAATGCCAAAAGTTTCAGCTTGACAGGATTGTAGAGGTTGTGTCGGTATACAGAGGCTGCCGTGTATCCGTACAATTTATTTTTTTCATTCATGCAGAGGCTGAACGAAAAGGAAAATATGGGCAGAATATCACAGACATCACATGGCAAATGCCACCTAGGCGTAAGTTAAACAGATATGAATGTACTACTGATTTATGGTAGTGCCACACTTACATTGGCTTGTGTTTTTTCCAACAACAATAAGCAACACAGCAGGTAGTTAAGAGACACAAAGCCGCAACGGCAATGAGTGCAAAGTACCACGCTTTGAAACCAGGTGAATGTCCACCACGTCGGTTCGTAATTTTCACTGAAATAAATTTGGTCATTGTTACAATTTAACCAAAATGAGCAAATTCAAATTAATTACTAATGAAAATGGAATATTTAAATTAATACTATCCGCGCTTATAAACGTATCAAAGTCACGGTCTAATGTATCTGCGTATAATATTTGTTTTCAGTTTCGGATTGATGCCGATGGCAGGCCCTGAAGGACTGACAATGTGTCTAAGTGTTTTTTCTATACCTATGAGTAAATCAACCTCAAATCGAAACGGCGCAATCCCGTATTATGGTAAGACTAAAAACCGGCTGCATTTTAGACTATAAATAGATGTCATAATTATTATTATTAGTAGTAGTAGTAGTAGTAGTAGTTTACAAGAATCTGTCAACAGGCCTACCCAACTACCATACTCGGCACCGCTTCGAAGTATCAGATACCGATCTTGCCCAGTACGCGATGTGATAGTGATGATTCTCAGCGGGGTTGGAAATCATTGCATCACCACTCAAAATTTGTTCGGGGTATGATACTGTGAAAACGGATATTTATCTATAGTGTGGCCCGATCTACCGGTGAATTCGGTATCATTCGGTACCGAGTCTGGTACATGTAGTTGGGTAGGCCTGTCTCAAGACCTAAAAATTCACTCGTAAAGATTTGGGATTCGTAAATATTTACTAATTTGTTGACATTTGAAATGTCATGGTAAACTCATAACATACCAGTTGTCTGTGCTGTGGTAAAATTTGCCCCGGAAACCGTGCTGCTTTCTGAAATGAATGCAGAAATACTAATTCAGTAGTAAACTATTCAAAGCTGCTTATACATGTATGATATTGCCGTAATTTACCTATTTAAAGATTTGCCCATATACTGTATGTGACTAAAAAAAAAGAGAGACAAAGGGGTAGTAATTTTTTATCTTTAAAGCTTATAGAAAACAATGGTATTTTCTTATATATAAGTATTAAAACTTTTATTCAAATGAAACAATGCTCGAAGCAGTAAAGACAATAACATCACTAATCACTAATGCAATCAAATCACTAATGGATGCTGTCAAAGTAAGGAAGTCTACATTAAATTTGGTAATAAGTTATATCAAGATAATGAATGTACTTCACATACATAACATCAGTTAAAATAAAATTAAAATTGTCTACATGAAATTTGGTAATAAGTTATATCAAGATAATGAATGTACTTCACATACATAACATCAGTTAAAATAAAATTAAAATTTGAAATAAACGTTTTTACCAAGACCGCTCTTGCACTGCAGTACCTTACCTGTATACTTTTTTAGAACACTATACTTCTTCTGTGTTGACGTTAATAATAATAATAATAATAATAATAATAATTATTATTATTATTATTATTATTATTATTATTATTATTATTATTATTGTTTTTGTTGTTGTTGTCGTGCAAGAAATCGCAAACATCTATTTACTTATTTATGCAAAATCTCAATTTTAATCATTTATTTATTTATTTATTTATTTTTAGATTTGACATGTTATGGATTAGTCAAAAATTATCCGTGTATTACCCGGTGCTCTGGTTACCGGTTCTGCTGAAATGAAATCAGATACTATACATTAATTCAGAAGAACATGATTCAATTAAAGCTGCTTATGTATTATGTAATATTCTGTTTATGCGATTTACTCAGATATAATTGTGTGGCTCAGTTAATAAACAAAGAAAAACAAAGGTGACAGTATTTAAATGAAACATAGACAAACAACGAATTGACCGAGTTTGACATAACGACTCAGTTAATTGCAATTGGTGGACTTTGAGGGTTAATTTACCGTTTATCTTGATTGTGTCACACACGGAATCACTTGATTTGCTGAAAAATATTTAACAGACTAGAAATGTATCACCAAGCAAGAATAATGACCATATGATGAGCATGATAAATACGTGTTATTTTCAAATCTGAATAACAGACTTCCCACTTTTTATCCTTCTCTATATCATTTTCTGTTACATTTCTATTTACCCGATTCACCGTTTCTTTCCGTATGTCGTACCAGTATTTATTACATCGCCTCAACTCATCAGTTAAAAAACAACAAGTGAAGGACATTTCTGTACGCAAAGTACGACTGAGTTTCCATACCTAGATCGATCTAACAGGATCAATCCTTCTTCAGGGGGTTTCTCATTAAATTGCCTTCAGCTTAAACGGCTTAGATGTCTAACACGCTAAAGGATGTCTGAAGCTGCTAAAGGATGATTAATTACCCCTCAGTAGACAGATATCTAAGCAGCTTAGGTTGATTGCAATTTAGCGAAAATACAATTGGAGATAGATCGATTCACAGTTAGTACGATAGGGTCTGGGAATGGCCCCTAAGACTGGGTTCCCATGCCTAGATCAATTCATCTGGATCGATCTAACTCCCTGGAGAGTCTCACTAAATTGCTATCAACTAACCGGCTAAAATGACTGTCAAGCCTACCGAATCAGCTAGGGTGTAAAGATAATGACCCCCTAACAGCTTTACTAGGCGTGACAGACATTTAAGCTGGTTAAGTTGATAGCAATTTAGTGAGACTCCCCAGGGAGGTAGATCGATCCAAATATCTGTGGGAATGGTCCCTAAGACAAGATTACCCTGCTGAATCCTTGGCCTGGTAACAGATGATGACCTCCCCGGTCTGATCAGAAGACGGCGTCCAATAGACATCGACGTATTTTGTGATGTTGCTTAGAGTTCCAAGTGGAAGCACTTTCATCCCGGCAGGCCCAAATGCCTTGATTTCGGTGATTCTATAGCATCAGAAAACATGATTACGCAAGTCTTATATGGAGGCCATAGTAGTTCCTTTTTCGTTTTCTGTTTTATATATTTGTTTCTATTATTTTTCCCGTAGCATCTGATCTTACTCGTAATTATCCCTGGCGTTTTTTTCTCTACAATATGATACTTCTATACAAAGGTTATTGCATTTTTTTTATTATTTTGATAAATTGTTGAAAATTACAGCTAACATTCATAATTTTACTCTACGTTTTGGAGACTAAATCTTTAAAATATGGTGGACAAAAATAAAATAAATGAATAAAGCATTCCACAAAGAGATGAATGCAACCTTCACGCAAGTTGTTGTTTCCTTATTTCACTAAGATCAGATATTACCCATTCAAAATGTATACTAATGTTTCTTCAATAACGGACCACGTTATATCATCAATAAGCGTATATAATTTTTTATAAAAATAAATTTATACCAGTGGCATATTTTAAATATAACAAACATTAAACATAAATTAATAAAAATAGCGCCAATGCTAAGACTAACTACAGTATTATACATACGGATGTGACGTAGAGCTTGCATTCGCAAACACCCGTTTCCTAAACGTGCTTCCGAAGTCGAGAGGCAAGGGTTCACTGTTATGGCCTGCATTCAGTATCGATGGTTTAACATCGCATGCCTGTCTGTTGTGTGTCCTGCCAGTGTTTTGTATCTTCATCAGGAACTGCAATACAAAATATTCTGACAGATCCATGCGCCATCCACGTAGGGATATAAAAATGATAAACAAGCTTTTGAAACTACAACATTACCTCTTCATCATGCATGATTTACACGATATATTGTACAAATACATGCAAGAAAGACATATGAAAGGCGTTTAATTGCACTGCTAGATAGTCAAATTCCTATCTTGATAGTGGATGTGATAACACAAGTGTAATATATTTAACCGTAGAATTCCAGAATTTAGTTTGTGTTGATTCTAATTCTATTTTATGACGAAAATTGTTCAATAAACTTAGACTGCATTCCCACAGATATAGATCGATCTATCCCCGTGGGTAATCTCACTAGATTAATGTCAGTTTAGTCGGCTAAAATGTAAATGTCTGCCCCGCCTACTAAAAGCTGTAAGGGGGTAATTATCTTCCGTGCGCACTCGGCTGACAGCAATTTAGCATGAACCCAGAGGGATTGATCTAAATCTGTGGGAATGCAGTCTTAATCTACGCGCATAATCATTATGTCGAGATGTGGTCTTTTACTTTAAAAATAATTATCCATGGTTTCTTGCAATGTTGATTACTCAATGGATCCACATCACTATGATTTATGCTGTATATACATACATGTACATGTATTCTCTTTGAAATTTGCCAAAAATTAATATAGTATTGGTTTCTACGCACCTGTAACGGTATGGATGACAGGGGCGTGACAGAGGTCTTATGGACACCACCCTGCGTTATGTCTAACACCGGGAAGTCCTCTATAGTAATGGCAGCAGCAAGCCAAGGACTTGCTCTGTTGGATCCAGCAATCAGTGGGATATCCAGGGTGCAATTCTGCAAGAAATGTCAATGTGAATTATCTATACAATAAATGAAGACGGACAGGTGTGGCGTGGGTCAAGAGTTCCGCTACTACAACGTCGTGGTGAAATTCTTAATAAATACCTGTTCATTGATTAAAATACCTTGACGGAAGAAATGCGTAGTTGGAAAGTGTGACGTATTGCTATTTTGTGGGATTTGATGATAGCAACAAAGATTGGAGTCTTTGAAGCAAATATACTCATTCGTTAACCAACCTCGGTCTTCAAAATAGCAATAACTCAAATCCCTTAATACATATAAATCAGAATTCAGAAAACAGAGGTTAAATATTGATTAAAGTGCATTTGAAAACGGTCAAATGCACTTAACCTGATACATGTACTTTGGATATTCAATAAGACAAAGGGGTAGGAACTTCCATGATATTCTTTCTATGTTTTGCGATGCCGGCTTGTATGCAAGCAAAATCAACTTACTGAGTACAACTTCGCTCCAGGGAGAGCTCCGCAAACAGAAGCGCACTCTTGTCCTCGCGACCATCGGCAACGGACATGGTCACCATCAGCGTCGGTGACAGGAATATCCAAGTTGAACGGGCATCCGGCTTGCACTCTTAAATAATTACATGGCTTAATCTTCCACAAGCGAGTTCATCATTGACAAAAAATGTGGTCCCTATCACCACAACATGCTACCATTGGATGTTTAAAGTTTATTCTACAATCTGAAACTTATTTGTGTCCTCATATAACAAATCTAGCAGTACATAATGTTTTGTTTCAATTTGATAAAGAAAGGTGGTAAAATAGTGACAGCAAGAAAATGGCAAAACCTCAAAATTGGCATATAATTATACTGAAACAGTTGATATTCGATTTCTAAAAGCAGTTCTGAATATCAATGAATTCGATGTTTTGAACTCCAGCGAATTCTGGATATTACGGCTTGATACTCGGTAGGGACAAAAAACAAGTATGTAACTGCCAGTGATATAATAAAAAAAAACAACTTGCCTGTAGAAGGGTTGACTCAATGTGGCTGGACTGGCATTAGGGTTGCCTGTGTCATTGCGGACATTGGTCTGTACGCTCCAAAAACTGCTACCTTTGCCATTATCCAAAGCGATCCAAGCACTCCCTCTAAAACTGTTCACGTATAATGTTTTTAATAATTGAAGCTGTGTGGGCAACGTTTTAACGTCTTCCAAAGCAAACTCAAAGACAATGTTAATCTTAATTTTAATGCCCAAGTTACAATTTATTGTTGACTAACATTCGACATTTTTGATTAAGGGATTGGATGTAAAAGCGTGGGAAGAGTTGATGTTGCGTGATCATCTTATTCCATACTGCTGGAACGATTTTTAAAGAAGAAGTTCTAACATATCTGTTCAAAATACATTTTAAAATACAAAAATATATCAAGGAATATTGACATTTAATTTAACCGTACCCGACCAAAAACCTTCCGGGGTTCGAAAATGTATAGTTGAAAGTCTCTTCCCCTTGTTCCCAGTCTTCGCTCGCGCTCACTCCTGTCACAGTGTAACCGTGGTCGTGTACAGGTAACTGTGTTAAGCACCCTGCAGGTCAAAGGTTTAAGTTTTTTGCGTAATTTATTACATGGTGATTTTGTCAACAGATATGAATATGATGTACCTTGATGACAAAGGGGGAAAGATAATTTAATTTCCAGTAAAATGAATACTCTGCTATTTAAGGTCTAATGAATATTGTGTGCTCTCTAAAATGAATCTTTGCTTATCATTAACACTTCCTAGTCTGATACCGACATTGTAACTACCTCTTTAATTTCAAAGTGATCGTCTCAAGCAGAACTTACTTCACCTTTTTTGCGATTAAAAATATCATTCGTTTTCAACGTCAAGTAATAATAACACTAGCACTAATAACAAATAATGATGCCATTATAAATAAATACATTGTAAAAGAAGCGTAATACTAGTGTTGCTTTGACTGCAATATATTCTTCCTTAGTATTCTTCAATGGACGACATGATGCAACGACACGAGAGTTGTTATCCATACAAACATACATGAACAAATACACATACATAATTGTCGCAGGCCAGATCCCAATCTAGTCCAGTTTTTAGGCCAGATCCTAACTGAGTCTTTGTATTGTTAATAGCATAATGAGCATGTTAATTGGCCAAGTAATTTACAGGTGAGCTGCCAGTTTGTTTGTATGGCGTGCGTAATTAAATAGAGGATATGATAGATCAGGTGTGGCAATGAGAAAAATATGTATTCATCTAGATCTGTTATGCTGTTAACAATCTGCACATTGTTGGGATCTGGCCTAGGCCAGTTTATAACTAGACTAGATTGGGATATGGCCTGTGACTATACATTCTCGTAGTCGAACAATTACAGGTATCTACCTAAAGATGCACACTCTCCTACCTGATAAACACTTCCATTCTCCATTACCATCAGAACCTCTTTGTCCTATGCTATGAACCGAACAATTGGATCCACAGGGACCATTATACAGTCTCCATGCTGTCCGGTAGCGGAAAATTACCTAAAGCCAGATGTAAACCGGTGATTTCATGTACCAAACAATATTTTTGAATCTGATAGGACCATTTTATGATAAATGTTCTCTCTTTATTTTCAGGCTTTTTATGGCGGAACCTTTCTGCACTTGCTTTGCATTGAGTTTCAAGATACAACCGACAATATTAAAATCTACAGAAAATATTAAATCAAAACGTTCATTGGTAATATGCCAACCTTAATTTGTATTTCTAAATCCAATCGGTTTGTCAAGACTAAACCTCATATGCTCTCTGTGATACCACGCCCAAAAAACCCACATTAGGTTATTATACAACATTGGTCAAAAAGGTTGTCCCACCCCCGGTTTCATGTGCTTTTATTTATAAATCATCACACCACAGGAGTTAATTACTATGAATGGTCATTTCCACGGAGGTAAAGAAATGCCCATTAAAGTAAATCGGCACCACCAAATGTCACTAAATTTACACACATTTAGCATTAGGGTGTGCTCGTTAAAAGTCACGTGTTTATTAGCGTGTGTGTTTACTGTGTACTGTAATTATCTCCTGTAGACTTCGCCATTGGCTTCAACAAGGGTAACAATTCTGTTTTGTGGGATATTGCCCCATATTTCCTTAAAAGATTGACGGAATTGGTCCGGGCTATTTGGAGTTTGGTTCTCCTCTGGAATGCACACTTCAATTTATGACACGGGTGTTCCGTAGGATTATTATCTGGATTCAAAGATGGTTTCTCCAGCCTTAGTGTTTCTGCAACTAATCACTCACCACATGAGAATTGTGAGCAAGTGTGCTGTCATGATGAAGCCCGGATCACCCCCGAAGTCCCCTTTTGCAGATGGAATGAGGTATCAGTTGAGAATGATAGGTTCAGTGACCCCTTAACTGCCAGAACTTGGTCAACCATCACTAGGAACAAGTTGGTTTTGCTAAAGAATCAAGGTATTTCTTGTATGCCTTCGATGGTCAAATTAGGGCCCGAAGACATGTTGCAGAATGCCTTTTGGTAGTTTTGTGCAGGATAATATTGCCTGAGGTGTCAGGTCAGTCCACGTTTGGAAAGAATTCCAAGCCCGATTCTGGGGCAATTCACTGAAACATTCTCAACAAATATCTCACTCCATTTGCAAGAGGAATACTGCAGGCGCCATTGTGGAAATGCATGTGCTCACAACTCGTCTGCTGAGTGATTTGTTGCAGAAACCCAATGCTCAGCTGCAGAGGATAGAGCAACCACTTTTAAGCCATGTTTTTAACCTTACTAAACATCTGTGGCATGGAATGAAGTGTGCAATACAAAGGAGACCAACCCCTCCAAGCTCTTTAGGAAACATGGGACAATATTCAACAAAACAGAATTGCTACTCTTGTTGAAGGCAGGCCGCGTCACCTACAGGAGGTAATTACAGTACGCGGTAAATACAAACGCCTTTAGACAAAGAGCCTTTAACGAGCACAGTCTAATGCTTAATGTGTGTAAATTTGGTGACATTTGGTGGTGTCATTTCAATTTAATGGACATCTCTTTACCTCTGTGAAAACCGTAGTGAAACGTCAGATTTGAGGGGGTACATGTAATAAATGTGAATAAATGGTATTAAATATTAATATCTTCACCGCTAGTTTGTATTTTCTGTATTACTACTCATGTTAGTAATGGTATCTAGAAGGAAAATCAATATTCATAACAATCTTCACTTGTGATGTGATCATTTATAAATAAAAGCACATGATACTGAAGGTGGGACAACCTTTTTGACCAATGTTGTATGGTGCAAAATTAAAGATGAAATGAAATCCAGTCAATCCATCCAGGATTATCTCAAATAAGAGTTTTCAGGTCTCCGTTAAATTGTCACGGGTGTCCACGATTTTAGGTTCGTTGAAAAAGGGTTCCATTCACGAACTTGTAGAGCGAGGTAGTCATAGATTAGTAAATTTGCTTTAGGTCAATTGTGTTAATAATAACTGATCAAATGGCCACGAGTTAAGATTTGGAGTATGATGTTAAACTAAGTTCAATAAGTAAGGGGGTATTATTGAGGAAAATGAAAAATTGCTATAGAAAAGATCCGTAACTCTTTCAGGGTGCCAGTGAAACTTCACTAGGTTTGCAGGATAAGGGTATTGTAATCCTTACTTATCATTCAGACACCGAAAATGAGATGTTCCCTGCATCTAATTATTCAATAATGCATCTTTTTGTGCTAATTTAAAACAATAAAATTGTTCGCAAATACAAAATATTGGCGTTTTAGGTGAGATAGCTACAAAGAAAGCAAACTTTCTAGAAAAAAACAGGGACTAAATTTAAATGTAGAAATGGATCCATTAACCATTGGTAAGAATGGGAAAAGTGTTGTTTACCTCAGGAAAATTATTTTTTGGTCAAAATGAACAGTAGTTATCCCTTTAAACAAATGCATTATTTTGCTTTATCAACGATTAAATCGAAACCCAGGTTTTTACGAAGAAGCGCCGGGAGGGTTTTGGAGTACTAAATGGTGTAATTAAATCGGCGTTGAAATGATGATCGTGGGTGCTCAGGTAAAACAAATTTGATTTTTCAACTTTTACCCCCAAATTTCAATTATGAAATCACCCATAAGATGATTTATGTGTAAATGTTAATTAATTTACAGGTAGTCACTGAACACTGAATAGTTATTCATTGCCCTAAAATGTATGTAAGACAGTAGATAAGGTGTTTTTGGCAAAGGGTAACAATTGCCTTTAGAGGAGCACTGATTAACACGTCTGTAGACACGTTTATCTTATATAAATCAACATGTTCATTTTTTTAAATGCATTTTTACCTAGAAATAAGGTTAATGATTAACCACCTTGCATTACATTTGCTCTGAAATGTGGAGAAAACACATTAGATAAAAAGAGAAACAAAAACCGCACCACAGTACAATTATCAATTTTTTCCTGTTGTGATAAACATAGCTTCTATACCAGCCTTAGCGCCACTAATATGTTGTTATCCATATGACGTTTTTTAACATTAGCAGAAAAAATTATTTTGGTTTTACTACTTTTCTCTACTCTTTGGACCGTAAGATAATTAGCGCCGTTTTCATTGTTGTTTTTATTATTACACATGGATAATTGTTTTATTGTTGCATGGTAATTTTTTCACGAAAATTAATACAGGACATTTACAACACAATAAGAGACAAATACACCTTCCACACACTATTCACACACTGCACATAAAGTTCTTACAAATGTTGATTAAACATACATTTAGAATTTTTTAAATAAAAGAATCTTAGTAGGCCTAGGCTACGATAAATGTTCTTTTCTATTCATATCAATATTTTTTCTATACTGTCCCGTTTTTTTCTTAGATTATCTGCCTTTTGAGGACCCAGTAGGTATAAAGATTGAAAATCTATTTTCTTTTGCTGTTCCAAATACTTTTTGAAGGCATTCCAAAGAGGTGTAATTTTATTCTGTCTACATAGAGTGAAATATTTCTTTATATAGAGAAGTAGTAGATTAATACCTAAGAGAGGGCTGTCGTCCAGGATTCCAAATATAAACAGGAACGGTTGTTGTTGTAATTCAACAGAGTACTGTGTGCGTAGGTTCTGAATGAGACAAGTCCAAATAGCTTGAACATATGTACAGTCCCAGAAAATATGCAATAAAGTTTCTTTTGGGTCATTACAGAAAGTGCATCGCTCAATGTCTAACATATTATATTTAAAAAGCATCGAATTCGTGAAATAAATTCTATGTAAAATTCTAAATCGCAATATGAGAAGTTTATGATCATTTGTTTCTCGAAAGAGCTGCATGAACTAGCTTCCACTTTTCACTTGGAAAATCAATGTTCAGCTTTTCCCTCCACTTATCATGGATGTTAAAAGGCATTGCTTCCTTATCTGAAATAAATTTCGGGTAAAAAAATTTCGTTAATTTGTTTTTCGATTTTAATAATACGAGATTTTTATTTGTTATTGCTGCAAGGTTCTTTTGATACCCTCTTATAATAGTTTTCCAGGCAGAAGGTAAAGCGCTGATGACGCCTTGATAGTCAAGGAAATTACGATCTATATTATTATCATCACAAAAAACGTCTAGACTTTTTACTGAACCAGTATTATCAATCAGGTCATTAACGTAAAGCACACCTTTTCCAAACCATGGTTTATAGAAGATCATCTTGTTACTGATCTTAATATGATCATTTCCCCATAAAGGTTGTGCTAGGATATCATCCGGAGAAGTAGTAGAAAATTCTTGCACAGAAGCCCATATTACCAAAATCTCTTTCCAGAAAGTATTTAGTATATTAATATTACGTATAGACTGTAGGCCCTTCAATGAAAGTAGCAATACGTCAATTCCCCCGATTTCCGCAATCTCATCCATCAAAAGAGTTTTCCACTAAGAACAATTATGTGGATTTACCAATTTCTTTAGCCATATCAATTTAAGAGCTTAACAGAAGGATTTCACCTCGGGGACCTTTAATCCACCGTTTTAATAAGAATTAATTATAACATTTCTCTTAACTTTATCTATTTTACTGTTCCAGATAAAGCGATAAAAAACTCGCTCCAATTCTTTAAAGAAATGATCAGCAGGCATTGGAAGGACAGTTAATATTTGGATGATGGTAGGGAGTGTTGCATGGTAAAATTGATTATGATATTAGAAAACACGTTCTTTGTTCCTGTCTAATACAACATCCAGTCCCATATCTAAACAGCTTACTAATCGATATCCTCGTATATAGCCTAACGTGACTCATTTGAACGACACGAAGTACGAGAACAAAAGAAGTACAAGTAGATTCCATGACAAACTCGGAAGGTAAGAATTATTCTTTTTTAAAAAATGCCAGTTTTATTTAAAAGTCTGTGTTTTTGAAAATTGTGGGGTCGTTTTAAAGTAACCAACAACAACATTTGGCAAAATATAATTTGTGTTTTTCTTAATAATTAAAAGCATATGAATGTCTTCTTTCCTAGATCAA